AGCTCATGCGCCTGCTGAGCTCCAACGAGGAGGATTCCAACATCCTCTCCAGCCCCAGTAAGTGTGGGGAATGGGGTGGGGGTGGCTCCTGGGAGGGCACCATCCTGCCTTGCTGTTCTTTTTGGGTGTGAAATGTGTATTTGAGCAAAACCCCTTCCCTTCCCAAACTGGCCGGGTGAGGATTTAGAGCCCTCAAGTGTTATTTCAGTTATCCTGGAAAAGGGAAAGGCAAAACTCTTTATTTCTCTGATCTGAACAACTTCAAGGGGTGAGGTTACACCTTCTCTCCATGCTGGTGCCCCCCAGCCCAGCACCCCACACCCGAGGGGCTCAGGGGGGCTTTGAGAGCCATGTCCCCCCAGCCACCCTGTGTGGGACCAGAGCTGGAGGTGACATTCCTGGTGTCTGAGGCCAAATCCTGACATTCCAGTTCTGTGAGCAGAGCCTTGGAACACATCTGTGTCCCTGTGGTGTCACAGGTTGCGACAGCTCTGGTGGTCCATGTCCTGCCTGGCGGGTGCTGTCATGGCTCCCATGTGCATTGTCCACACTCCTGGGCAGTGAGTCAGGACCTTTCCTGGTCATTGTTTCTCCCCTTATCCCGAATGTGCTCTTCAGTTATTAGTTTTCGACACATCCATTGACCTCTGGTTTCTTTACTGTCGAAATATGGGCTTTTCCCTTTATCTCACTTATCTTTTTTTAACTCCTGAGGCAGTCCCACCTCTTCCCAGTGACATTCAGGACTTTTTTGGGCTGTTTTCTGCAGTGATGTGGAAACACTGCTTCCTGCAGCGGCCACATAACTCATGTGATTCCATGAGAAAAGTGTGGGAGGGCTTTCTTTTTTTGGTGAGCATCCTCAAGAGCAACACAAGGTGGGTCCTGCTGGTTTGGGCAGGAGCTGTGGACCATGGGGTCTGCACAAGAGCCTTCCCAGGGCATTTTCATCCTGTTGGAGCGGAGCTGGCCCAGTTCCTCCTACAGAAGCGCCCAACTGGGGGCAGCTCAAGCCCCCTGGTCTATCCCGGGATTTGCTGCTAGATTTGGACGTGCCTCAGCTCTGGTAGCTGGACTGCACCCTGACAGTGAGATTGCAGAGCTGCTGTGCAGCTGTTGAACATCTGGCTCTCACACAGGATGTGCAACGTGTGTGTTGCTGCTCTTCCTCTCTCCTGATCCTGACATCCCCTGGGAGCAGCCTGGAGATCCCCCCCGGGCTCTTGGCTCTGTGGGGGCTGGCAGGGGGGACGTGGCACAGACTGTGCTGTGTTTCTGGGGTGCCCCAGTGGCACAGACTCAGTTGGGGTATGTGGGGCCCAAACATCTTCCACTCCACAGGATCACTTGTGGCAAAGCCCCTCCTGGAGCTGGGTCACCTTGAGTGGCTAGAGCTGGCCAGGGTGGGCACACTGGCACAGCCAAGAGGCTGTTCCTGACTCCTGTTCTGCTGCCCACAGATCGCTCCATGAGCAGCTCACTCTCTGCTTCCCAGCTCCACACCGTCAGCATGAGGGACCCGCTCAACCGCGTGCTGGGTAAGGTGGGGATGGGTCTGTGGGGTCACATCCAGCCAGGCTGGGGCACCAGTGGGAGGGTGTGGACCACCCCCAGCCCCCCAGAACTGACCTGATTGTTGATCTGTTCCTGTCCCCACAGCAAACCTCTTCCTGCTCATCTCTTCCATCCTGGGGGCCAAGACAGCCGGCACCCACACCCAGTTTGTCCAGTGGTTCATGGAGGAGTGTGTGGAGTGCCTGGAGCAGGGCAGCCGTGGGAGCATCCTCCAGTTCATGCCCTTCACCATGGTGAGCCCTGTGGCTGTGACACCCCTGTCCCTGCTCGGGGGTGTGCTGGGGTCCCACGGGACAGGGGCACATCTGGGGGTCCTGCAGCCTGCCTTACCTGTCTCCATCTCTGGGGACACTCACTGTGCTTCTCCTGTGCCCCCGGGCAGGTTTCGGAGCTGGTGAAGGTGTCCACCATGTCCAGCCCCAAAATCGTGCTGGCCATCACTGACCTCAGCCTGCCCCTGGGCCGCCGCGTCGCCGCCAAGGCCATCGCTGCGCTGTGAGGGGACAGTGCCTGCCCAGGGCACATCCCTGAGCATCCTGGGCACCTCCCTGCCAACCTGGATGCCTGGGATGGCTTCTGTCACTGCAACTTGGCCTCGTCCTGCCCATGGGCTGCTCCCTCAGTGCCCGGAGCCATCCCTGTGCTGCCTCGTGAGGGCTTCGAGAATGAGATGCCCTCACGATTTTTTCTATTCTATAAATAATTCAATCCTTTTGTAGAACCAGGTTTTGCCTCATCTCTGTCTGGGGTCCTGGGGCTCCCCAAAATCCCTTGTTTCGGGGGGTGATGGGGGAGTCAGTGGCCAAGCCCTGTGCTGGGAAGGGGGTTGAATTCCACTCTCCCTGTCCCAGACCCCTGGAGCGTTCCATGCTGCACTGGGTGGAGCAGGGATGCTTCCTTGCTGTGCTGTCAGCCACAAGCTGGCTCTTGTTGGGAATTCCTCCCCGTGAGTGTGAGTTCTTGCTGGAATTCCTCCCCATGAGTGTGAGTTCTTGCCAGAATTCCTCCCCGTGAGTGTGAGTTCAGGCCAGAGCGAGCACAGCACTGGTGGGCCGGTGAGTAACCGCGGCCTCACCAACACTGCACCGGCCCTGTGCTGGGACAGACTCCCCCAGGACTGTCCCCACACCCCGTCAGCTGCTCTGGCAGTGAATCCTCCTGGAGTGTCACCAACCCCCAACCCTGAGGGGGTGGCAGGGCCGGGGTAGCTGTGCCTCTGCCCTTCACTCATTGAGGGGGAAGCGGGGCCAGTGGGCACCAGCCCTTCCCTCTGGGCACCACAGCTCTGGGACCCGGCTGTGCCTCTGCCCCCTCGGCACTGGTGGAGTTCCCAGCTCACTCCTGGCTGCTCCCGGGTTTTCTGGAGGGAGAGATCCCAATGCACTGGGGGTAGCTGTGGGTGCTGGCTGGTCCTTGGCCTTCAGGGAGGGAGCTGCTTTCCCACTGCTCCCATGGGTTCATCCCTGGTCCAGGGCAGGTGCAGAGTGGCCGTGGGGGTGGGTGGGACAGCTAACAGAGCTGTGGCACGCACTAGGATGGGCTGGGATGGCCTCACCAGGCCTGACACCCGTGTGAGTGCCACACTGAGCTGGCACCGACCTGCCTGGGCACCGCTGCTCGCCCAGGGGCGGCTCTTTACCGTTAGCCCGGAGCAAAGAGCAGGACCCGGCGCTCGTGGCCTTCCCGGCTCTGTCAATATTTGCCTCGACAGCACCGTGCCTGGCGTTGGCACTGGCGCTTTCCCTTCCAGGAAGGGGCTGGAGCGGGGAAAGGGGGTTTTTCCGTAAGCACCCATGAGGTGGGAGAGGAAGGAGGGAGCTGCTGCCCATGGGGGTGTGTGTGGCCAAACGCCTGGGAGCGAGGGCTTCCCCTGGCGATGAGAGCCCGGCCATCTGGCTCTGGCCTTGTGCCAGCCCCTTCCCAGGGCTGGGAAGTCGGGGGGAGGCAGGAACTCCTCCCACTGGCCCCCCCTGGCCCTGGGCTCTGTCCCTGTGGGGCTGGGATGAGTGTGGTGAGGGATGCTGGTGGTCACAGGACCTGAGCGTGGGCCCAGTGGGAGGAAAGTGATCTGGTGGAGCTGAGGAGCGCAGGGACAGCCCGGGCTGGGCAAGGCTGGGGGTGGCTGCAGGGGCTTTCTGGGGCAGGGAGATGCCCAGGGGTCTCCTGACATTGCCACATCCGTTTGTCCATCCGCCCTGCCACAGGCACCCTGCCTTCCTCACTGCTGGAAGCCTCGTCCCACTGTGGTCGCTCTGGGAGGGCTCTGGGCACATCCTGAAGCAACTCTGGAGCAGATTCCCCCTGTGGCAGCAGCAGCAGAGGGGTGGGTGGGTCCTCCCAGCGCGGGTGGCTTCCGGAGCTTTCTAGGAATCAGCTCTTGCCCAAGTGTGATGCTGCCGGGGGTGGGAGGAAGCAGATGCCCCACGGGTGCCTCCCGGCCCTTAGGGGGCTCAGGCCATGGTGTGGGGGCACCAGGGGGGTTGGTTTCCAGTGGCACTGTGCACCACTGAGCCGACACTGGCAGCCACAGCCCGGCCCCAAGTGCCCCATTCCCTGGTCCCCTGTTCTCTGTCCCCGTGTCCCCATGCCCGGTCACTCCACTTCCCCCCCAAGCAAGCAGGAGACAGCAGGACAGAGCAAAAATAGAGTTTATTTCCATTTTTATCACAAATAATAATAAAAAAAAAAAGTAGCGTGTGTTCCTCGGGGCTGACCCAACTGCAGCAATAAATAGAGTACAAAACCCGCCGCCCCCGCGCCCGCAGCTCCCACACAGCCACGGGACCGGGGCTGCGTCAGGCTCAGGGGATGGGACCACGTCCAAGCAGCTCCTCCCGGCCAGGGATGGGCACTAATAAGTTAAACTGCAATAAATACCCCGAATTTAGCAGGGAAGGGGGACAGACAAGAGACAGCCCCCCCCCCCAAGTGCTGGTGCTCCCCAGAAAAGCCTCGTTCTGGGTGGGTTGCATCCCCCCGACATTTCCATCCTCCCCTCCCTCCCTAATGGCTAATAAATATTAATTACGGGAAATAACACCCATCAGATGTGGCCCTGTAGGCTGCAGCCCAGGCAGGGAGATGCTGCTCTGGAGCATCCTCATCCTCGGATGAAGGAGGTTTCCCGTGGGATGCTGCAGGTGGGACCCTGCAGCACAAACCGTGGGGAAACTGAGGCACAGGCGGTGCCGCGGCAGCCGCGGGGGCTCGGCCCAGCCCCCGAACCTCGTAGCAGAGATACGCTTGTGTTTAAATATTAAACAAGGGTGATGCTGCACAGATACCCGTGCACGGACCCACCACGGGGACCCCCCGGACCGGGAGCATCCCCGGCCAGATAAATATTAAATAGCCATAAATATTAAATAAGCAGAAAACGGGGCGCTCCTGGGACGTCCCTCGGGCGGGACATCCGCGAACAGGGGTCAGAGGCGGGCGAGGTGCCGCAGAGCCCGGTACGCCGTCTCCAGGAACCGCTGGAAGTTGGCCAGGATGAAGAAACCACCGACTTGGTGGTGGAAGTGGGAGGAGAAGGTGGGCAGGGGGTCCGGGTTCTCCGTGGGGTACGTCACTGTGGCCAGGCCCAGGTCCTCCATCTGCAGCCAGGCAGAGGCAGCGGAATCAGCTCCGGGCTCAGAGATGCCCTGGGAGTGCGGAGGCATCCCGGGGATGCAGAGTGTCCCTGCTGGGCCCTCCCTGTGCCCTTCCTGGGGATACGGTGCCCACCATGCCCACCCATCCCCGGGGATTCAGCCCCTGCCAGGCCCACCCAATCCCCCCAAGCCCCCATCCCCCTCACCTGCTGCTGGATGTTGGAGGACAGGTTGGCCATGTCCAGCTGCAGGGTCTCCACCAGCCCGGCATGGCCGGGCAGCAGGTCCCTCACAGCAGCCAGGGAGCCTTGGTAGACGCGGAGCCCGGCGCGGATCTGGTTGAAGCAGGTCTCCTGTGGTGGGCACAGCACGGTCAGTGGGGCTCTGGGGTGCCCTGAGCTGTGGCAGAGCCAGCGGGGCTGAAACCTGCCAGGTCCTGGCAGGGGTGGGCTGCACTCACCGCCTGGAAGGAGCGGCTGTGGCACTGCTCCAGCGGCACCTGCACGATGTCCAGGTCCTGCCGCACCAGCAGCAGCTCTTCCTCCTTGCACAGCTGGAAGGTGTCACACTGCGGGCGAGGGGGACGGTGTCAGGATGGCCAGAGACCCCCAACACCCCTCGACATCCCATTCCTGGGGTGTGGGACCCCCCCACAGCCCAGCCAGAAGGAGGGAGGGGATGGAGTGGACCTGCCACCAGTGTTGGCTGCCCTGGCTGGTGTGTGCCCAGGAGGGTCCCTAAGTGCCCCCGGTGGACCCCGCAGGCTCCCAGCCCTGCAGAGCCTTGTTCGTGACCCTGGAGGTTCCACCGTCCCCCCTCTGTGGGACTCACCACCATGCGCTGCAGCGCGGCCACATCCCCGCGGACCTTGCGGGTGAACTCGAGGTTCCTCTGCAGGAAGAGCTGGAAGTCCTGGTCCCCGGAGAGCTCGGGCAATGGTGCCCCGTGCAGTGCCCACCACGGTGCCCACAGCAGCACGCCCAGCAGCGCCAGCCCACCTGCGGGGACAACAGCTCAGAGCCCACCCAACACCCCGGGGACCCCGACCCCGTGCCCAGGGGGGGGTCAGCAACCAGGACCCCCCCAAAAGAGATGGGGGCACCAGCGCGGGCTGGGAAAGGGGCAGAGACTCCTGAATGGGAAGAGGGATGGGCACTCCCTGCATCCCACAGGCCATGGGGCAGTGCTGGGGAGCTCTGGGTGTGTGGGTGCAGCAGGTGTTACAGGAAGGGTGGATTTATGGGGGAAGTGGGGGAATTGGGCACTGTAGGTGCAGTGGGGGCAGTGAGTGAAGTGGGTACAGTGGGAGCAACAGGAGCAGTGAGAGATGTGGGGGCTGTGGGAGCAATGGGGGCTGTGGGTGCAATGGGAGCAGTGGGAGCAGTGGGAGCAGTGGGAGCAGCAGGAGGTGTGGGGGAAGTGGGAGCAGTGGGAGCAGTGGGGGCTGCAGCGGGTGCCGGGTACTCACGGGTGAGGGAGCACATGTTGGGTGCCCGGCTCGGTGTCTTCTCCTCAGTTCAGAGCAGCCCAGCCCAGCCCAGCCCGGCCTCCCTCTGTCCTGGCCAGCTCTGCTCATCGATCAGGGCATTTATAGTGCGGGCCCCGGGGATTCTCACCGACGTTGCAACCGCCCCGATTGCTTCATTGCCTTAATCACAGCTTTCAGATCTCGGAACCGGGCGCTCGGCCGGGCCCCCACCGCGGGGCTTTCCCGGGGCGAGTGGGCAGCGCTGCCCCTCGGTGTGGCTGCGGGTGCCCAGCTCAGCCCTGGCACCGAGGTGGGTGCCAGGACGGGGCTGGTGGGGCACTGGTGACTCATTAACCTGCTCCCAGGGCTCCCACTGCGCTGACCAGAGCCCAGTGCAGTGAGGTCACTCAGAGGGTCACTCGCAGGGTTGCTTCAGGGTCATTCACAGGTGACCGGGCAAGGGGACGGTGGCTTCCTGCTGCCAGTGTCACTCCAGGATCATGCCCATCCCTGTTCCATGTGGGAATCACCCCCCCAGCTGCCCCAGCCCCTCACTCCAGTGCCAGGGTGGGTGCTGGTGATGTGACTGGAGAGTGGGACTCGATGGCCCCTGTGGGTCCCTTCCACCTCAGAATGTCCTGTGATTCTGACTCTGTGCCCTTCACTGTGGTGGCACCAGCCGGAGGTGGCCAAGGTGTGACCCTGTCCAGGCACCTCCCCAGGGCTGTGGCTGCCCAGTGCAGCACCCTGGGGTCACATCCTGCCCTGCTGGGTGCTGTGGGGCCGGGTTGTGCAGTGTCCCCCATGTGCAGCAGCTGCATCAGGCTGACCCCCCTCCCCCTGCCAGGGGCCAACACGCCCTGCCCTTCAGGGAAGAGGCTTCCAGAGGCTCCCAGGTCTGGGATGGCCTTTCCCGGCCCTGCCACGCTGACGTGGGAATTTTGGCTCGTGCCGGTTCCCGCAAGTCCTTCCAGGATGATCCCTTGGGCCGGTGACAGCTGGATCGGCTCCTGTCCGGCACGGGCTGGACGGGGCAGGGAGGCACCTACTCCCCCCCCAGCCCTAGGCAGGGTGACCCTGGGGCAGTGCCGAGCTGGGGGGACTCACTCTGTGCCCCTGACCCCTGGCAGGGTCCCATCCCTGTCCTCCTGGGGTCTGTGGGGACAGGGATGGGGACAGGGAACCCCATTCCTGCATGTTGCAGACCTTGGAGGGCGTGGGGATGGGCCACACATCCAGTGGGGTACAGCCCATGGGCTACACTTCGTGGGGTGCAGTTTGTGGGGCACAGCCACAGCACCAGCCCCGAGAGCTGCTCCCACCTCCAGCTGGGAAACGAACCCTCATCAGCTGCAGCCAACCCATGGGCACAAAACAGAGCCAGCTGTTCCCTCTGGAACCTAAGGCTGACCTCCCCTCAGAACCTGGGAGCACCAAGTGTTCTGCCCTCAGACTCTGTGAGAGGACCATGGCAGTAGGGACTGTTTGTGGGATTTTGGGAAGCAACAGCCTCTCCCAGCTTTGCCTGTGCCCTCCCAGGAGTCAGGGGAAGCTGGTGGCCATGGAGGGACCCAGTGTGGTGCCCCTGGACTGCAGGGACCCCGAGGGCCCACAGGATCACCCCGGAGCGGATCTGCCCTCTCAGCAGGTTGGTGCTTTCAGGAATTGTGGAGGGGGGGTGGTTGAATCAGCGCCTGGTGGGGCCCAAAGCCCCCGTCAGCTTTCCAAGGAAGGAAGTGGTTTCGGACTCGAAACTCTGTGGGTGTTGGGGGGTGGGGGGTGGAGCTGGGGCAGCACAATCCCCCACATGGGCCTTGAGCAGCCCAGCCCGGCCCTGGGGACTCTCCTGGGCACTTGCCCCGCTGTTTCAGCCTCGTGGCCACCCTTCCTCTTCACGTGGCCCAAGCTGGGAATCCTCGTCCCCTTCCCTCTGCCAACACGTCGGCGCTCCTGGGGTGCCCCTGAGTCCCCAGAGCCAGCCCTGGCTGTCCCCCTCGGCTGGGCTCTCGCCTTCCCTGGTCTCCCCCAGGGGCCCCTGGAGCAGGGATGGGCCGGGGCAGCCTCACACTTGACCCTCAGCCCTGGCCCCTGTCCCAGCATGGGCGTGCTGGGGAATTCCCAGATTTTCCCAGAGGACTGATCCCAGATACCGGCAGGATCCACCTGGGGTGGCTACACATCCCCTGTCACCATCACCCCCCGGGGCTGGGGTTGTGGGGCACAAGGGGGGCCCAGCCTGGCCCTGTGCCTTTCCCCACAGAGGTCTCCAGCCCCGTGCCCCCCTCCCCACCCCAACAAACCCACGGCAGGAGCCGCCCAGGCTGGTGTTTTTCCGTCTTTTATTTTAAAATTCGTAATTGAAGTTTAACAAAGTTTGACCCCGTTGCTGTCGCGGGAGATGGGGGGGCCCTGGCGGAGCCCCCGCTCCTGCCCCCTGCCCGCTCCAGCCCCGCTCCCCCCGCAGCCCCCCCGGCACCGGCTCCGACATCACCACAGGGATCCTTCCAGGGATGTTTATTGGGGAGGGGGTCCCGCCGTGGGTGCAGGGGGTCGAGGGCTGTGGGCCCAGGGAACCCCCCGTGTCCCCTCCCACAGTACAGACATGCAGGGATTTATAAAAGGGGGGCTGGGGGTGCCCTGCTCAGCCACCATCTGCCCGAGGGACAAATAAAAAACACAGCCAGGGCCCAGGGTCATGGAAAACCGTCGTCGTCGTCCTCTGCCATCTCCTTGGCGAACTCCAGGTCCTGCTGCTCACGCTCCCGGCGCTCCTGGAAGGCAGAGGTTGGTGGCAGGTGGGGACAGGAGCCACGTCCTTCCCGTGGCCGCAGGGACCCGGGTGAGACCTCACCTCTGCAGATTCCAAGTCCTTGTTGTACGATTTGGGTGGGAACCTCATGGCCTGGAGAAAGGGAGGAGGAGGAACTCTGAGCTGAGCCAGCCTGGGGCTGTGTCCCGCTGTCCCCAGGGCTGTCCCCTGCCCTCAGGGATGTGGGGCCAGGCCGTGCTCACCTTCACGGACATGTTGTGGATGTCGAGGCAGAAGGAGATGCGCTGGTGGAAGGCCAGCTGGGGCTCCCGGGTCGAATAGATGTCGATCATCTCCTTGGACTGGACGTAGCCCTTCTCGTGGTTGATGCTGGCCTCGATCACGCCGTCCCGGATGGCCTGTGGGCAGGGGCAGGGCACGGCGTGTCCCCCAGGGCTCGGGATGTGGTGCACGGGGGGACAGGGCAGAGCAGGGGGCTGTGGGCACCCCGGGACCCCCGTGCTGATACCTTGGCGACGATGAACTCGGCGTCCTCCGGGCTGTCCAGCTGCAGCTTCTGGGCGATGTCGGCCAGGGAGATGCGGGAGTAGGAGAGGCTGATCATCCGGACACCTGCGGGGACAGCGGGATGCAGCCCCCTGGGACCACGGCATTGCCTGGGGGGACCCCAAACACCCCCCTACCTGTCTTGATGACGTTGTGCCTCAGCCGGATGATGAGGGTGTAGGTGCCATCTGCCTGGAACTTGTCCCCAAACTGGTCAAGGACTTGGTTGAACTTGGCCAGGTTCCCTGTCCTGACGGCTGGAGGGGAGAAAGTGGGAATGGGGGAAGGAGAAAGGACAGGGAATGCGAGGCAGGGCTGACTCCCTTCCTCCTCCTCCTCCTCCTCCTTCCCATGTGGCATCTGCATCCGAGTCCCACCAAGGGGAGAGAAGAGAACTCCCCTTGGGTGCCTTCCCACTCAGGGCATTCCATGGCTCTATGGGACAAGGAGGGGCAAAAGGCCATACCCTGGGTCAGCAGGAAGTAGGGCATGAGCGAGCGCTTGAGCGAGGGCTGCCGGAACTGCAGCCTGTCTGGGATTTCCCCGAGCAGCAGCTCCACCACGATGAGCAGCTTGTGCACCTGGGGCAGAACGAGACCCTGGGTGAGGCCCTGCAGGGCCTGAAACCATCCTTTTCCCTGTGGGGCCCAACTCCAAGAAGTCCTGAACCCATTCCCATCCCTGAGGGGCCCAGGAGGTCCCAGATCTGTCCCTGGGAAGTTCCAAACCTGGGAGGTCCCACAGTCATTTTCCCCTGCAGGGCCCAACACCCCGGGCAGTCCCAAAGCTGTCCCTATGGGGCTTGATACACTGGGAAGTCCCAACCCCAGGAGGTCTCAAACCTGGGAGGTTCCAGAGCCCAACTCTGGGGGGTCCTGGATCTGACCCTGGAAGGTCCCAACCTGGGGCGGTCCCAGACCTGACTCCATAAGGCCTGACAACCCAGCAGGTCCTGGATCTGTTCCTGGGAGGTCCCAAACCTGGGAGATCCTGCACCCATCACCCCTGCAGGGGCTGACTCCCTGGGAGACCCCAAACCTGAGGGGTCCCAGCCCCATCCCCAGCCCCGGGGGGTGCCACGCTGTCCCCCCTCACCGTCTGTTTGAAGCCCACGGCCGTGTGCTGCGGCGCCTTGCGCAGGGCGTTGGTCATGGTCCGCCGCGCCTCCGAGTATTCCAGCTGGATGGCCTTGATCCGCCCTGCGCCCACACGGGGCGGGTGGGGAAAGCCACCCAAGTGAATCCAACCCGACCCGCACGCACGGGGCTCCAAATCCTGCCTGGAAGCCCCATCTCCAGCTGCTCAAAGGGGTTTCCAGGGAAGCGGAGCCGGGAGGCGGGGGCGGCTCCCCCGGGTGGGACACGCTCACCTGTGTAGTACAGGTACCGAGCCCACTCGTTGTTGTTGGCCTGCTCGGGGAACACGGACTTGGAGACGAGCTTCTCGGCCTGGTCGTAGAGGTTGTAGTGGAGGTAATTCCTCAGGAGCAGGTTGAGCAGCGTGGCCTGGCCGTCGGCGTCGTGGCGCAGCGTGGCCGTGCGGAGCCGCGCGTGAAGGAAGCTGTGGGGTGGCACAGGGAGTCAGGGAGCAAACAGGGGGGATCGAGCTCGGGGACAGCCCACCCGCAGGGCCCATCCCACCTCCGGACCACGTCGAGCTTGTTCAGGAACTCGTAGATCCGGGAGTGGTAATAGTAGCACTTGGCCACCACCAGGTCCAGGGCCCGGCGGTTCTGGGAGCTGATCTTCTGCATCAGATCATCGGACACCTTCTGAGCCTGCGGGAGGGGAAGGGAGGTCAGAGCAGGGGGATTGATCCTGAGAGGGACAGAGACCACCTGGGCTGTGAAGTGGCCTCCCAACACCCCTGGGATGAGGGCACAGTGTGGGGCAGCGCCAGGTGGTCCCTGAGGCTCCTGAGGAGCAGGAGGACAGTGGGATCAGCTTGGGGGTCTCACCTCAGGGTACCTCTTGCTGTTCATCAGGTAGATGACGAGCAGCAGCTGCAGGTAGGTCTCCACCTCTGGCAGGAGAGGGGCTGAGGCCGCTTTCCCCGTCCGCGGGCGGAACTGCAGCTCAGCTTCCGTGTCCATGGACTGAGGGAACAGAGGGGACACATCCTGATCCCTGTCAGGATGTGACAGGAGCCAGCCCAGGCTGCTCTCATGACAGTCCCATCCCTGCCCAGGGCTGCAGTGTCCTGTCCCCGCTCACACGTGCTCCTGAGCAGCTGGGCTGTGTCCCCAGTGCCCCCCAGCCGTCAGTGTGAAGCCATTCCCCCTTGTCCTGTCACTGCAGACCCTTGTAAATAGCTTCTCCCCATCTTTCCTGTCGGCTCCTTCAGGTACTGGGAGGCCACAGTTAAGTCATCCCTAGACCTTGTCTTCTCCAAGCTGAATTATCCCAATTCTCTTGGTCTTTCCTCAGAGCAGAGGTGCCCCATCCCTCTGATCATCTTGGTGCCTCCTCACTCCAACAGCTCCCCATCCTTCCCGTGCTGGAACCCCCGAGCTGGGGGCAGCACTGGGGGCAGGTGTCCCCTCCTGTCCCTGCCCGTACCTCCTCCAGGAACCCGAGCAGGAAGTCCCTGAGGGTGCAGTTGGAGGTGAAGAAGCCGTGGATGGCCTTGTGCAGCACGTTGGGGTTGAGGCGGCGGGAGGTGGAGGGCAGAGCCCGCAGGGCCCGCAGGACGTAGCGCGGCTCCTTCCCCGACACTGCCTTCTCCAGCTGCTTCACGTGCTCCTTGATGTCTGTGGGGGGCACACGGACACCCCTCACCCCAAATCCTCTGCCAGGGCACCCCAGCTGGGTCTCCCCTGTCCTGCTGCCCTGGGGCTTCGGTGTCCCCGGTGACCTGACCCGTCCCTGCTCGGAGTAGGGGGCTGGGGAGACCCTCCCAGAGCCTTCTTCCTCCTCCTCAGGGGCTCCAGCCCCTCTCTGCACCCCCGCGGGGTCCCACCACAGCAGGCCAGCAGCTCCCCTGCCCCTCACAGCCCGTCCTCCCAGGGATCTCCACAAAATACCTCTCCCTATCCCTTTCCTTCACAGAGCCCCCCCAAGCCCCTTTGCACACAGTGACCCTCCCCAAAAACACACCTCCATCTCCTTTTCCTCACAGTGACGCCCCCCCCAACCCACCTCCCTTTCCCACATGGTACTCCAAGACTCCCCCTCCCCAAAATGAGCCCCCCAAAACCCACCTCCCAGCTCCCTTTCCCTCAGGGCCGCCCCCCAACTCCCCTCCCCACACCGATCCCCCCATTCCCCTGCCCCAACATCCTTTCCAGCCCCCCTCCACTGAGACTCCCCCCAAAACTCCTCCAGGGCTCCCGTAGCCCCCCAACCCCCTCCTCCCAACACCCTCTCTCCCAGGACCCCTCCCAGATGTCCCTCCAAGCTGTCCCTGCTCCCTCTCTCCCTCACGACCCCCCAGTCCCCTCTCAGACCCCCCATCACAGCGACCTCCCCACCCTCACCCTCCAGCGTGATGGCGTCCAGCTCCCTCTGCGGCTGCCGCTCGCCCGCCGCCTCGGGGGCCGCCGGGGCCGCCTCCTCGTGCATCTCGACGTCGGGGGGCGCGGGCGGGGGTCCCTCGGGGGGTGCCTTGGCCTTGTCGCCGCGGCGGCGGGGCCCGTCCTGCTTCATGGCGTGACACTGCACAACGGGCCGCCAGGCGCGGCCGGCCGAGCGCCGAGCGCCCGACCCCGATCGGCTCCTCCCGCCGCCCGCTCGGGCCTTTCCGCCGCCGCTCGGGGAGTCCCGCCGAGCTTGCTCGGCAATTTCCGTAAGGTTTTCGGGTATTTCCGCCCGGCGCTCGGCTGTGTCCGCCCGCTTGGGGGCGCAGGCGCGCGCGCGTCCGCGCTGGGCAGAAGCGCGAGGTCCCGTGAGGGGCCGGGACCCGGAGCGGGATTCCCGTGAGGGGTCCTGTGAGGGTCCGGGACCGGGAATCCTGTGAGGGGTTCCATTAGGGGTCCTGTGAGGGGCCGGGACCGGCGATCCTGTGAGGGGTTCCATTAGGGGTCCTGTGAGGGTCCGGGACCGGGGATCCCGTGAGGGGTCCCGTGAGGGGCCGGGAGCGGGAGTTCCGTCAGGGGTCCTGTGAGGGGCCGGGACCGGCGATCCTGTGAGGGGTTCCGTGGGGTCCCGTGAGGGGCTGGGACCGGGGATCCTGTGAGAGGCTGGGACCGGGACCAGGAGACCCGTGAGGGGTCCTGTGCGAAGCCGGGACCAGGAATCCTGTGAGGGGGCCCATGGACTGGGGATCCCATGAGGGGTCCCGTGAGGGACTGGGACCGGGAGACCCATGAGGGGTCCCGTGAGGGACCGGGATGGGAATCCTGTGAGGGGTCCCGTGAGGAGCCAGGCTGGGACTGAGAACGGGAGAACTACGTGCCCTTATTTCTGCAACAGCCTCACTCCCAAAGTTGTGGGATGTGCTGTGGGACCGAAAACACACGGGAAGAAAGAAGTTGCCTTCCAGAACACCGGGTTGCTCAGCAAGAAGCTCCTCTTTATTTTTAAAGCGATAATGAGAATATTTACGTTGTACCTGAAGCACTGCCCCATGTCCCTGGAGCAGCCTGTGGGAGATGGCAGTGCTGGGAGCAGGGAAGGGTGGGTGAAAGCCCTGGGATCCCCCCACCTTTGTGCCACCAGCAGCTCATGGAGCCCCCCGGGACTCCCAGGGGGGACCAGGGTAAGTGGGTCACTGCAGGTCTTTTCCTTTGGCTTTTGTTTCCATTGCATTTTCCCCCCTTTTCCCTTTGCATTTCCCTTCCTTTCCCTTTGAATTCCTTTTCCCTTGGCATTCCCTTTCCCATTCATTGGTTGCAGAAGCAGCAGCGTTTTTAGGGAAGCACACGAGGCACAGCTGCCAGGCCTGTGATTATTTGGGCTCGTGGATTTTCTGGTTGTCCCTCTGCTTTCAATGGGGGACAGCCAGAGACATCCACTTTGATATCCAGCCTTTTGTATCCATAATGAGCTTTCCTGCCTTAAGTTTGCTTATTGCAGCCAAAGCAGCCTTGAGCATTAACAAGGATGAAATTGGGGGAGAGAGGTGTGTCGTGGCCGGAGGTTTCCCAGCAGCTTGGGGAGGGGTCGCCTGGGCAGGGCCAGGTGCCTACTTGGGGCCACTGAGGAGGCTGAGGGCGTACAGGGCCACGTACAGGGCGGCCACGACCTCAAAGGGCCGTTCCATGGGCTCAGCTGATCCATCTTCCTGGAGCTTCACTCTGCTCATCTCCACCAGGGCCATGGTTAAGGTCTGATCCTCCTGCTGTGGGAAGGAGAGCAGGCTGGTGTCCACACGGAAAGACTCATTCTTGTCCTCCAGCTCGTGTTCCAGGAGTTTTCCAACCTTCAGAGCAACCACAAAAAAGGCAAATCAGTGTTTTAACAGGTGTCAAATTGTGATCTCATCATGGACACAGTGCTTTAATTAAAATATCCCCTTTGCCCCTTCAAATGAGCCAAGTGTGATGTGGGTACTCACCAGCTGCAGCTGTTGGGACACAATCTTCCTTTCCAAGGATTCCAGCAGCAGCAGCAGCTGATCGTCCAGTAGCTCTGCAAAATGAAACCAGCTCTGATCAAAAAGCTGCCAGCCAGGTGTTTGAGAGAGCTGGTGGGATGGGCAGGGTGAGCAGGATGAGAAGGGTGATCATTTCTTGTAGGAAATGCCTGTTTGTTCCAGAGCTCTTTGGATGTTTTATTCCAAATGATTTATGCTCTGAGAGGGATTAAGTCTGTTACTCACAGATTCATGGAATCTCGTGAGTTGGGAGGGATTCCAAGGATCATGGAGTCTGATTCCTGACCCTGCCCAGGACACCCCAACTATCCCACCCTGTCCCTGAGAGCGTTGTCCAAACCCTCCTGGAGCTCTGGCAGCCTTGGGGCCGTGCCCACTGCCCTGGGGAGCCTGTTCAGTGCCAACCACCCTCTGGGGGAAGAACCTTTCCCTGAGATCCAACCTGACCCTGCCCTGGCACAGCTCCAGCCCTTCCCTGGGTCCTGTCACAGGTCACAGAGTAGAGATTGGAGCAGCCCCTTGGGAGGAAGCTGTGAATGCACTTGGAGGGAGCAGAGAAGCCTGGAGGGGTATCATGGGGGGTTCTCTGCTCTGCCCTGCATGGGATTTAGATGCACTTCCTCCCCCAAGATTCCACTTGTGGAGGAAGAGGAGCAGGAGGGCCTGGCCAGCCTGGGAGTCAGCCCTGCCTTTATTTCCCCCCTATTAAAGACCCAAAGCCTCACCAGCCAAAGCATCGAGGGTGTAGGTTATTCCCTTTGCCAGCAGAAGACAACGATCTCCTGGAGAATTCTTTAAGGTGCTCAACAGGTCTTTTAAGTCTGGGCTTTTAGTTTTCAGCTCATAACCATCAGTTTTCTCAAGAACTCCTTCCATCTGGGGGGACAAGGAAAAGAAAAGTGAGGATTTGAGGGCAGAGGCTGCTGGTAGTGCAGAGCAGAGAGATGTGCTGAGTGTGGGAATTTTGGAGGGACTGTTGTGGCAGAGGTGCCTTGTGGGGCAAGAGGTGTGATGGTGGATGTCTGTGTGTTTGTAAATCCTGGCATTGAGAGAAGCTTTACTTACCTTCTGGCTGAGCTCTTGAAAGAGGTTCCTGTCTCTCATCACAGCTGTGATGGTGTTTAAGAACTTGACTTGCAGGCCAGAAGGCAACTCGGAGAAAATCCCACAGTATTGTTTAACTTCTCTGTCCACTGTGACTAATTTTGGTGTTAGGAGATCAGAAAGGCAGGGTTCTGAAAACCAGAAAGATTCCAAAGATGTCACTACTGAACTAGGAGTTCAGTGGCAGCCCTAAACTGAGAGTGTGAAACCCTGGTGTGTATATTGTGGAAGCAAGATGGAATTTGGGCAGTTGTCGTGTCTTGGGGAACACAACAGTCTTGGTGGTTTGTTTTATCCTGGGAGATTCCATCTTACTCAAACCAGGTAAAAACTGTGCAAGTGGAAGCAGAAAAAGACTTTGCTTACCATCATCGAAGTAATATGTGCTTCTACAAGGCAAAAAACATCTTAAAAATTCCGGTTCTGCAACAGGATAGAAAGGACATTTACAATGTGTCCCCCAGCCTTCCCACTGAAGGTCACCCACCCTGTTTTCTCCCTGGCTCTTTTCTTCTAAACAGGAAAAAGGACCAATCCAAACTCTGCTGCCTGTGCCATTTATCACCAGGAGCTCTGCAGCTCCCCAAATGGAGAGCTGAGAGTTCCAGTGTCCCTCTTGCCCTTCCCTACCAACCCCTCCCCAAACTGCTCCTTTCCCACGCAGCTCCTTGACCTTCCATGGGTTGGACAACCTTCCCCAGGTGGTTTCTGTCCCTCCCACTGCCTCCATGTCCTTGCAAACGAGCTGAGGGTGGCTGTGGGGCTGAGTGATACTTGAGAAAATGTTCTTCCTCTTCTGCCCTGTTTCCCGAATGGAGGAGTTGGTAATTTCTGGAAGTTACTTACCCCATTCTCCACTGAAAATGTCCATGTAGATGGTCCTGAAGGCCAGGGTGCAGCCCTTGGGTATGACTATGCTTTGTCTGTTCTCTGTGGTGCCCTGGTAAAGGAAAACACCCTGTTAGAGCCCCTGGGTGCAGGTGTTGGGGAGAGAAAGGGCTCTCTGAGCCTGGAGAGAAACCAAACCTGTGCAGAGAATTTGGTGTAAATCGTGGCTAGGAAGCCTCCCTGTGCCTTGCTGGATTCCTTGTAGACAGTCTCCTCCGAGGCTTCCAGGGTTTCAGAAACCATGTATAAATTGAGCGTTGTCCTCAGGAGCTGTTGGATGAAGGAGTGATCTATGTCGATTTTTCTGAAAGAGAAAAAGGATGAGAACAGGATGGAGCACAAGTCATTTGAGGAGCGGCTGAGAGAGCTGGGAAGATCAACCTGGGGAAAAGGAGGCTCAGAGGGGACATTCTGGCTCCAAGCCCCACCCAGCCTGGCCTAGTTAGGGGGAATTCATTGTCTAAGGTCTCAATCTTGTTTTTTTCTTGCTGTTGAACACCCATTGTGTGACCCAGCATGGGTTGGGTGGGGATGGCCAGAGCAGGTGCTGCCTTTGTCCTGCCTTACCTATTTTTTCTCGCTTTCTCCAGTGAGTCCATTGGTATGGCCTTCTTCTGCAGCTTGATGGAAAACGCCTGGTACAAGGAGCCACCTCCTTTCAGCTCCACACTTGCAGGGTCAACACTAAGGCTGAGAGACCCATCGACTTGGTCAGCAGTGACCTTTGTGAGAGTGAATTGGCTGGAATCTGGACCATCTCCCGAGGGAAGGAGGGACTCTGAAATGATTCCATGCATTTGCTTCAGCAGGATGGCACAGACTCAGCACTGTAAGTATTTCACCCACAGGAAAGCTGGAACGTGGGACAGTTCAGCCATGACCCCAGTGACCCCCAAACATTATCTATGGAATTTGTGAACCTGAATATATCAGGTTGATATATTTGGGCTTTACCTGTGCTTTCCCCATCTTCTCCAGGCAGCAGCACACTGTCCAGTCTGAACCCTGTGTGGTGGTAGTAGGGACGTGGATGGAATATGGTATTTTGTTTTCTTTTTTGTGTCAGAAGACAGAAGGGTCTGAAGTGCTCGTGGTCTGCGATGCTCTCGACAGGGACCCATTCCTCCTTTGGATCCATTTGGCTTACAATGTATTTGGTGACTTTTTTAAACATTCTGCTCTGCGTGGATGAAGTTTTGCAGCCCAGCCAAGTGGATTTGTGCCTTGGGAAAGTGGCAAGGCAAATTAAGCCAAATTACTTGAAATAAGTAACCAAATGTTAGTTCAATTATTAGGAAGTTTTCAAAATCATGACCTAAATACACCACATTATTTAAGGAGCCAACATTCAGAGGGTTGTTTTAGGGAGTGTTTGGAGAGGAAGGAGCAGGAGCTGTGGGTTGTTTGGACTCGTCCCCCTTTGCTGATGACCCCAGTCATGGTGCAGACAGAGCACAGCTCGCAGGCTCTGAGGGTGCAGATATTGGGGACAAATCTTCGAGGAGATATAAAGCAATCAGCCCAGGCCAGCCCCTTGGGTGTGGCCTGGTGCTGTGCAGGGGAGAGCTGGTGTCTGAGAGCCAGAAACAAAGCCCGGTTTCTTGAGGCAGCTTGTTTTTCACAAAAAAAGAAGTTTCAGTTTCACTTTTCTGGTGTGTTGGGGGAGGGAAAGCCAGGGAATGCCAGACTGGTTTGGGTTGGAAGAGACCTTAAAGCCCATCCAGTCCCATCCCCTGCCATGGGCAGGGACACCTTCCACTAGCCCAGGTTGCTCCAAGCCCCGTCCAACCTGGCCTTGGACACTTCCAGGGCTGAGGCAGCCCCAGCTTCTCTGGGCAACCTGTGCCAGGGCCCCACCTGGCTCCCAGGGAGGAATTTCTTCCCAATGCCCCATCTAACCCTACTGCCTCTCAGGTTAAATCCATTGCCAAGACAAATAGGCTTGTGTGCCCAATTTTAGTAGCACTTGCAGGACTCATTGCCTTGGAAGTCTTCAAGAAGGGAGAAAAGCTGAAGAAGAGCACTTAGCAGACAGCTTCCCCCAAGCTTCTGCCCCAGCCCAAGCTCTGGAATAGGGCACTTGCCTGTTTGGTGGATGCCTCCTGTGGATCGGGAGCCTGGGGCTCTGAGGGGATGTGAGCCCTGCAGAGCAGCAGGACTGGGGAGGAGATCTCTGGCTTCCCTTCTGCTCAGAGGGCCGGAAGCGTTTGTTAAACGAGGGAGTTGGCACATGAAGCTGGAAGGAGCACAGACCCAAAGAGTTTTAACCCAAAATGATTTCCCTTACCTTGCTAAGGGGTGTCTCCCTGAAGCAACCCCTGGGGCAGAAGCACCGTTAGACCCAGTCCTTAGACCCAGTCCGTGCAGGAGGATCCCTGGCTGGTCACTGCAGCTTATCCTGAGTCACTCCCAGATGTGAGAGACTTCCAGTCATCTTCACCTTGTTCAGCCTTCACACAACTATTGCTTAACTCTGCCACTGAAAGGCTTTGGTGATTGGGCAGGGTCAGATTGTTGGAATCTGTTACAGAGACTGAGTCAGTGGAACTTCTACAGATGGAGCAGATGAAACCCACCCACCCCTCCAGAACCCTGAGTGGAGCTGGGCCTGCAGATGTTACACCATGTTTGTGTTTTCAGCATGTTTGGGCTGTGATGCTTTGTGATCTCTTCCTGCCTTTCCCTGCAGTGCAGGATTTCTTGGGGCAGGAGTTCAGGTAAAGAAGAGAAGTAAAGAGCCAAGTGTGATATCAATGACTGGTAGCAGCTCTGGAATCATCAATCATATTTTGCAGACTTGGGTGGAAAATAAGTGCCCTTTAAGATGTGCCCTGCAGTTCTTGCCTCAGTCTGTGCCCTCTTTTGCAGCCTGAGTCGCGTGGACTGACACTGATCCCTGCAGAGCCAGGAACATCTGCTCTAGGGAGGCCGTTCTGCCAGAGCATGGGAGAAGGTTGGTGTTGGTCAGTAATTATTTGCCTTCCTATGTCTTTGTATCCATGGAGTAGGGGTGCATTAGGAATTGGCTACGTGGCCTTATTTCTGTGACAGCCTCACCCCCAGGGTTGTGGGATGTGCTGTGGGACCGAAAACACACAGAAAGAAAGAAGTTACCTTCCAGAACACCGGGTTGCTCAGCAAGAAGCTCCTCTTTATTTATAAAGCGATAATGAGAGTATTTAAATTGTATCTGAAGCACTGCCCCATGTCCCTGGAGCAGCCTGTGGGAGATGGCAGTGCTGGGAGCAGGGAAGGGTGGGTGAAAGCCCTGGGATCCCCCCACCTTTGTGCCACCAGCAGCTCCTGGAGCCCTCCAGGACCCCCAGGGGGGACCAGGGTAAGTGGGTCACTGCAGGTCTTTTCCTTTGGCTTTTGTTTCCATTGCATTTTTTTCCCCTTTCCCTCTGCATTCCTTTGCCCTTCCCTTTCCCATTAATTGATTGCAGAAGCAGCAGTGTTTTTAGGGAAGCACATGAGGCACAGCTGCCAGGCCTGTGATTATTTGGGCTCGTGGATTTTCTGGTTGTCCCTCTGCTTTCAGTGGGGGACAGCCAGAGAAATCCACTTTGATATTCAGCCTTTTGCATCCGTAATGAGTTTTCCTGCCTTAAGTTTGCTTATTGCAGCCAAAGCAGCCTTGAGCATTAAGAAGGATGAAACTGGGGGAGAGAAGTGGCTGGTGGGCAGAGGTTTTCCAGCATCTCGGGGAGGGATTCCCTGGGCAGGGGCAGGTCCCCACTGAGGAGGCTGAGGGCGTACAGGGCCACGTACAGGGCGGCCACGACCTCATCGGGCTGTTCCATGGGCTCAGCTGATCCATCTTCCTGGAGCTTCACTCTGCTCATCTCCACCAGGGCCATGGTTAAGGTCTGATCCTCCTGCTGTGGGAAGGAGAGCAGGCTGGCATCCACATGGAAAGGCGTAGCCACCGTCTTCAGATTGTGCTCCAGGAGTTTTCCAACCTTCAGAGCAACCACAAAAAAGGCAAATCAGTGTTTTAACAAGTGTCAAATTGTGATCTCATCATGGACACAGTGCTTTAATTAAAATACTCCCGTTACCCCTTCAAATGAGCCAAGTGTGATGTGGGTACTCACCAGCTGCAGCTGTTGGGACACAATCTTCCTTTCCAAGGATTCCAGCAGCAGCGCCAGCTGATTGTCCAGTAGCTCTGCAGAATGAAACCAGCTCTGATCAGAAACCTGCCAGCCAGGTGTTTGAGAGAGCTGGTGGGATGGGCAGGGTGAGCAGGATGAGAAGGGTGATCATTTCTTGTAGGAAACAATTTCTGTTTGTTCCAAAGCTCTTTGGATGTTTTATTCCAAATGATTTGTGCTGTGAGAGGGATGTGTCTGTTGCTCACAGATTCATGGAATCTCGTGAGTTGGGAGGGACTCCCAAGGATCATGGAGTCTGATTCCTGGCCCTGCCCAGGACACCCCAACTATCCCAGCCTGTCCCTGAGAGTGTTGTCCAAACACTCCTGGAGCTCTGGCAGCCTTGGGGCCGTGCCCACTGCCCTGGGGAGCCTGTTCAGTGCCAACCACCCTCTGGGGGAAGAACCTTTCCCTGAGATCCAACCTAACCCTGGAGGGGTATGATGGGGGGTTCTCTGCTCTGCCCAGCATGGGATTTAGATGCAGATTCCACTTGGGGAAGAAGAGGAGCAGGAGGGCCTGGCCAGCCTGGGAGTCAGCCCTGCCTTTATTTCCCCCCTATTAAAGACCCAAAGCCTCACCAGCCAAAGCATCGAGGGTGTAGGTTATTCCCTTTGCCAGCTGAAGACGACGATCTCTTGGAGAATTCTCCAAGGTGCTCAACAGGTCTTTTAAGTCTGGGCTTTCAGTTTTCAGCTCATAATCATCAGTTTTCTCAAGAACTCCTTCCATCTGGGGAACAAGGAAAAGAAAAGTGAGGATTTGAGGGTAGAGGCTGCTGCTAGTGCAGAGCAGAGAGATGTGCTGAGTGTGGGAATTTTGGAGGGACTGTTGTGGCACAGGTGCCTTGTGGGGCAAGAGGTGTGATGGTGGATGTCTGTGTGTTTGTAAATCCTGGCATTGAGAGAAGCTTTACTTACCTTCTGGCTGAGCTCTTGAAAGAGGTTCCTGTCCCTCATCACAACTGTGATGGTGTTTAAGAACATGACCCGCAGGTCAGAAGGCAACTCGGAGAAAATCCCACAGTATTGTTTAACTTCTGTGTCCACTGTGACTAATTTTGATGTTGGTAAACCAGAAAGCCCGACCCCTGAAAACCAGAAAGAGTCCAAAGATGTCACTACTGAACTAGGAGTTCAGTGGCAGCCCTAAACTGAGAGTGTGAAACCTTGGTGTGAATATTGCGGAAGCAAGATGGAATTTGGGCAGTTGTCATGTCTTGGGGAACACAACAGTCTTGGTGGTTTGTTTTATCCTGGGAGATTCTGCCTTACCAAAACCAGGTAAAAGTTGTGCAAGTGGAAGCAGAAAAATACTTTGCTTACCATCATCGAAGTAATATATATATGTACGAAGACTTCTTTTGAAAAAACACAGTCCTGCAACAGGATAGAAAGGACATTTACAACGTGTCCCCCAGCCTTCCCACTGAAGGTCACCCACCCTGTTTTCTCCCTGGCTCTTTTCTTCTAAACAGGAAAAAGGACCAATCCAAACTCTGCTGCCTGTGCCATTTCTCACCAGGAGCTCTGCAGCTCCCCAAATGGAGAGCTGAGAGTTCCAGTGTCCCTCTTGCCCTTCCCTACCAACCCCTCCCCAAACTGCTCCTTTCCCACACAGCTCCTTGACCTTCCATGGGTTGGACAACCTTCCCCAGGTGGTTTCTGTCCCTCCCACTGCCTCCATGTCCTTGCAAACGAGCTGAGGGTGGCTGTGGGGCTGAGTGACACTTGAGAAAATGTTCTTCCTCTTCTGCACTGTTTCCTGAATAGAGGAGTTGGTAATTTCTGGAAGTTACTTACCCCATTCTCCTTTGCTAATGTTCATCTGGATGGCCCTGAAGGCCAGGGTGCAGCCCTTGGGTATGACTATGCTTTGTATGTTCTCTGTGGAGGCCTGGTGGAGGAGAACACCCTGTTAGAGCATCTGGGTGCAGGTGTTGGGGAAGGAGCGACACCTGAGCACAGAGAGAAACCAAACCTTTGCAGAGAACTTGGCGTAAATCATGGCTAGGAAGCCTCCCTGTGCCTTGCTGGATTCCTTGTAGACGGTCTCCTCCGAGGCTTCCAGGGTTTCAGAAACCATGTATAAATCGAGCTTTGTGCTCTGGAGCTGTTGGATGAAGGAGTGATCCATGTTGATTTTTCTGAAAGAGAAAAAGGATGAGAACAGGATGGAGTACAAGTGATTTGAGGAGCAGCTGAGAGAGTTGGGGGGGCTCAACCTGGGGAAAAGGAGGCTCAGAGGGGACGTTCTGGCTCCAAGCCCCACCCAGCCTGGCCTAGTTAGGGGGAATTCATTGTCTAAGGTCTCAGTCTTAGTTTTTTTGCTGTTGAACACCCATTGTGTGACCCAGCATGGGTTGGGTGGGGATGGCCAGAGCAGGTGCTGCCTTTGTCCTGCCTTACCTATTTTTTCTCAGTGCCTCCAGTAAGTCCATTGGTATGGCCTTCTTCTGCACCTTGATGGAAAACTCCTGGGACAAGGAGCCACCTCCTTTCAGCTCCACACTTGCAGGGTCAACACTAAGGCTGAGAGACCCATCGACTTGGTCAGCAGTGACCTTGGTGAGAGCAAATTGGCTGGAATCTGGACCATCTCCCGAGGGAAGGAGGGACTCTGAAATGATTCCATGCATTTGCTTCAGCAGGATGGCACAGACTCAGCACTGTAAGTATTTCACCCACAGGAAAGCTGGAACGTGGGACAGTTCAGCCATGACCCCAGTGACCCCCAAACATTATCTATGGAATTTGTGAACCTGAATATATCAGGTTGATATATTTGGGCTTTACCTGTGCTTTTCCCATCTTCTCCAGGCAGCAGCACACTGTCCAGTCTGAACCCTGTGCACTCGTAGTAGGGACGTGAGTGGAATATACTGTTTTGTTTTCTTTTTTGTATCAGAAGACAGAAGGGCCTGAAGTGCTCGTGGTCTGCGATGCTCTCGACAGGGACCGATTGTTTGCTTGTATCCCCTTGATTTACGATGTATCTGGTGACTTTTTTAAACATTCTGCTGTGCGTGGATGAAGTTTTGCAGCCCAGCCAAGTGGATTTGTGCCTTGGGAAAGTGGCAAGGCAAATTAAGCCAAATTATTTGAAGTAAGAGCAGGACATTGTAACCAAATGTTAGTTCAATTATTAGGAAGTTTTTGAAATAATGACCTAAATACACCACATTATTTAAGGAGCCAACATTCAGAGGGTTGTTTTAGGGAGTGTTTGGAGAGGAAGGAGCAGGAGCTGTGGGTTGTTTGGACTCCTCCCCCTTTGCTGATGAACCCCAGTCATGGTGCAGACAGAGCACAGCTCGCAGGCTCTGAGGGTGCAGATATTGGGGACAAATCTTCGAGGAGATATAAAGCAATCAGCCCAGGCCAGCCATTTGGGTGTGGTCTTGTGCTCTGCAGGGGAGAGCTGGTGTCTGAGAGCCAGAAACAAAGCCCTGTTTCCTGAGGCAGCTTGTTTTTCACAAAAAAGAAGTTTCAGTTTCACTTTTCTGGTGTGTTGGGGGAGGGAAAGTGAGGGAATGCCAGACTGGTTTGGGTTGGAAGAGACCTTAAAGCCCATCCAGTCCCATCCCCTGCCATGGGCAGGGACACCTTCCACCAGCCCAGGTTGCTCCAAGCCCCGTCCAACCTGGCCTTGGACACTTCCAGGGCTGACGCAGCCCCAGCTTCTCTGGGCAACCTGTGCCAGGGCCCCACCTGGCTCCCAGGGAGGAATCCCTTCCCAATGCCCCATCTAACCCCACTGCCTCTCAGGTTAAATCCATTGCCAAGACAAATAGGCTTGTGTGCCCAATTTTAGTAGCACTTGCAGGACTCATTGCCTTGGAAGTCTTCAAGAAGGGAGAAAAGCTGAAGAAGAGCACTTAGCAGACAGCTTCCCCCAAGCCTCTGCCCCAGCCCAAGCTCTGGAATAGGGCACTTGCCTGTTTGGTGGATGCCTCCTGTGGATCGGGAGCCTGGGGCTCTGAGGGGATGTGAGCCCTGCAGAGCAGCAGGACTGGGGAGGAGATCTCTGGCTTCCCTTCTGCTCAGAGGGCCGGAAGCGTTTGTGAAACGAGGGAGTTGGCACATGAAGCTGGAAGGAGCACAAACCCAAAGAGTTTTAACCCAAAATGATTTCCCTTACCTTGCTAAGGGGTGTCTCCCTGAAGCAACCCCTGGGGCAGAAGCACCGTTAGACCCAGTCCTTAGACCCAGTCCGTGCAGGAGGATCCCTGGCTGGTCACTGCAGCTTATCCTGAGTCAATCCCAGATGTGAGCGACTTCCTGTCATCTTCACCTTGTTCAGCCTTCACACAACTATTGCTTAACTCTGCCACTGAAAGGCTTTGGTGATTGAGCAGAGTCAGATTGTTGGAATCTGTTACAGAGACTGAGTCACTGAAACTTCTACAGATGGAGCAGATGAAACCCACCCACCCCTCCAGAACCCTGAGTGGAGCTGGGCCTGCGGGTGTTACACTGTGTCTGTGTTTTCAGCATGTTTGGGCTGTGATGCTTTGTGATCTCTTCCTGCCTTTCCCTGCAGTGCAGGATTTCTTGGGGCAGGAGTTCAGGTAAAGAAGAGAAGTAAAGAGCCAAGTGTGATATCAGTGACTGGTAGCGGCTCTGGAATCATCAATCATATTTTGCAGACTTGGGTGGAAAATAAGTGCCCTTTAAGATGTGCCCTGCAGTTCTTGCCTCAGTCTGTGCCCTCTTTTGCAGCCTGAGTCGCGTGGACTGACACTGATCCCTGCTGAGCCAGGAACATCTGCTCTAGGGAGGCCGTTCTGCCAGAGCATGGGAGAAGGTTGGTGTTGGTCAGTAATTATTTGCCTTCCTATGTCTTTGTATCCATGGAGTAGGGGTGCATTAGGAATTGGCTACGTGGCCTTATTTCTGTGACAGCCTCACCCCCAGGGTTGTGGGATGTGCTGTGGGACCGAAAACACACAGAAAGAAAGAAGCTGCCTTCCAGAACACCGGGTTGCTCAGCAAGAAGCTCCTCTTTATTTATAAAGCGATAATGAGAATATTTAAATTGTATCTGAAGCACTGCCCCATGTCCCTGGAGCAGCCTGTGGGTGATGGCAGCGCTGGGAGCAGGGAAGGGTGGGTGAAAGCCCTGGGATCCCCCCACCTTTGTGCCACCAGCAGCTCATGGAGCCCTCCAGGACCCCCTGGGGGGACCAGGGTAAGTGGGTCACTGCAGGTCTTTTCCTTTGGCTTTTGTTTCCATTGCATTTTCCCCCCTTTTCCCTTTGCATTTCCCTTCCTTTCCCTTTGAATTCCTTTTCCCTTGGCATTCCCTTTCCCATTCATTGGTTGCAGAAGCAGCAGCGTTTTTAGGGAAGCACACGAGGCACAGCTGCCAGGCCTGTGATTATTTGGGCTCGTGGATTTTCTGGTTGTCCCTCTGCTTTCAATGGGGGACAGCCAGAGAATCCACTTTGATATCCAGCCTTTTGCACCCATAATGAGTTTTCCTGCCTTAAAGTTTGCTTATTGCAGCCAAACAGCCTTGAGCATTAACAAGGATGAAACTGGGGGAGAGAAGTGGCTGGTGGGCAGAGGTTTTCCAGCATCTCGGGGAGGGATTCCCTGGGCAGGGGCAGGTCCCCACTGAGGAGGCTGAGGGCGTACAGGGCCACGTACAGGGCGGCCACGACCTCATCGGGCTGTTCCATGGGCTCAGCTGATCCATCTTCCTGGAGCTTCACTCTGCTCATCTCCACCAGGGCCATGGTTAAGGTCTGATCCTCCTGCTGTGGGAAGGAGAGCAGGCTGGCATCCACATGGAAAGGCGTAGCCACCGTCTTCAGATTGTGCTCCAGGAGTTTTCCAACCTTCAGAGTAACCACAAAAAAGGCAAATCAGTGTTTTAACAAGTGTCAAATTGTGATGTCATCATGGACACAGTGCTTGAATTAAAATACCCCTGTTACCCCTTCAAAGGAGCCAAGTGTGATGTGGGTACTCACCAGCTGCAGCTGTTGGGACACAATCTTCCTTTCCAAGGATTCCAGCAGCAGCGCCAGCTGACTGTCCAGTAGCTCTGCAGAATGAAACCAGCTCTGATCAGAAACCTGCCAGCCAGGTGTTTGAGAGAGCTGGTGGGATGGGCAGGGTGAGCAGGATGAGAAGGGTGATCATTTCTTGTAGGAAATGCCTGTTTGTTCCAGAGCTCTTTGGATGTTTTATTCCAAATGATTTATGCTCTGAGAGGGATTAAGTCTGTTGCTCACAGAATCATGGAATCTCGTGAGCTGGGAGGGATTCCAAGGATCATGGAGTCTGATTCCTGGCCCTGCCCAGGACACCCCAACTATCCCAGCCTGTCCCTGAGAGTGTTGTCCAAACCCTCCTGGAGCTCTGGCAGCCTTGGGGCCGTGCCCACTGCCCTGGGGAGCCTGTTCAGTGCCAACCACCCTCTGGGGGAAGAACCTTTCCCTGAGATCCAACCTGACCCTGCCCTGGCACAGCTCCAGCCCTTCCCTGGGTCCTGTCACAGGTCACAGAGTAGAGATTGGAGCAGCCCCTTGGGAGGAAGCTGTGAATGCACTTGGAGGGAGCAGAGAAGCCTGGAGGGGTATCATGGGGGGTTCTCTGCTCTGCCCTGCATGGGATTTAGATGCACTTCCTCCCCCAAGATTCCACTTGTGGAGGAAGAGGAGTAGGAGGGCCAGCCTGGGAGTCAGCCCTGCCTTTATTTCCCCCCTATTAAAGACCCAAAGCCTCACCAGCCAAAGCATCGAGGGTGTAGGTTATTCCCTCTACCAGCTGAAGACGACGATCTCCTGGAGAATTCTCCAAGGTGCTCAACAGGTCTTTTAAGTCTGGGCTTTCAGTTTTCAGCTCATAACCATCAGTTTTCTCAAGAACTCCTTCCATCTGGGGAACAAGGAAAAGAAAAGTGAGGATTTGAGGGCAGAGGCTGCTGCTAGTGCAGAGCAGAGAGATGTGCTGAGTGTGGGAATTTTGGAGGGACTGTTGTGGCACAGGTGCCTTGTGGGGCAAGAGGTGTGATGGTGGATGTCTGTGTGTTTGTAAATCCTGGCACTGAGAGAAGCTTTACTTACCTTCTGGCTGAGCTCTTGAAAGAGGTTCCTGTCCCTCATCACAACTGTGATGGTGTTTAAGAACATGACCTGCAGGTCAGAAGGCAACTCGGAGAAAATCCCACAGTATTGTTTAACTTCTCTGTCCACTGTGTCTAATTTTGGTCTTGGGAAATATAACAATTGGTAACCTGAAAACCAGAAAGAGTCCAAAGATGTCACTACTGAACTGGGAGTTCAGTGGCAGCCCTAAACTGAGAGTGTAAAACCCTGGTGTGAATGTTTTGGAAGCAAGATGGAATTTGGGCAGTTGTCATGTCTTGGGGAACACAACAGTCTTGGTGGTTTGTTTTATCCTGGGAGATTCCATCTTACTCAAACCAGGTAAAAACTGTGCAAGTGGTAGCAGAAAAAAACTTTGCTTACCTGTCACTGGAGTTGGATCTTCTTTAAAATAAGACAGTTCTGCAACAGGATAAAAAGGACATTTACAACGTGTTCCCCAGCCTTCCCACTGAAGGTCACCCACCCTGTTTTCTCCCTGGCTCTTTTCTTCTAAACAGGAAAAAGGACCAATCCAAACTCTGCTGCCTGTGCCATTTATCACCAGGAGCTCTGCAGCTCCCCAAATGGAGAGCTGAGAGTTCCAGTGTCCCTCTTGCCCTTCCCTACCAACCCCTCCCCAAATTGCTCCTTTCCCACACAGCTCCTTGACCTTCCATGGGTTGGACAACCTTCCCCAGGTGGTTTCTGTCCCTCCCACTGCCTCCATGTCCTTGCAAACGAGCTGAGGGTGGCTGTGGGGCTGAGTGACACTTGAGAAAATGTTCTTCCTCTTCTGCCCTGTTTCCCGAATGGAGGAGTTGGTAATTTCTGGAAGTTACTTACCCCATTCTCCTTTGCTAATGTTCATCTGGATGGCCCTGAAGGCCAGGGTGCAGCCCTTGGGTATGACTGCCCTTTCTATCTGCTTTGTGGAGGCCTGGTGGAGGAAAACCCCCTGTTAGAGCCCCTGGGTGCAGGTGTTGGGGAAGGAGCGACACCTGAGCCCAGGAAGAAACCAAACCTCTCCAAAGAACTTGGCGTAAATCCAGGCAAAGAAGCTCCACTCTGTCTTGGTGTCTTCCTTGTAGATGGTCTCCTCCGAGGCTTCCACGATTTCATAAACCATGTACAAATCGGCGCCTGTCCTCAGGAGCTGTTGGATGAAGGAGTGATCCATGTTGATTTTTCTAAAAGAGAAAAAGGATGAGAACAGGCTGGAGCACAAGTCATTTGAGGAGCAGCTGAGAGAGTTGGGAAGATCAACCTGGGGAAAAGGAGGCTCAGAGGGGACGTTCTGGCTCCAAGCCCCACCCAGCCTGGCCTAGTTAGGGGGAATTCATTGTCTAAGGTCTCAGTCTTAGTTTTTTTGCTGTTGAACACCCATTGTGTGACCCAGCATGGGTTGGGTGGGGATGGCCAGAGCAGGTGCTGCCTTTGTCCTGCCTTACCTATTTTTTCTCACTGCCTCCAGTAAGTCCATTGATATGGCCTTCTTCTGCACCTTGATGGAAAATGCCTGGGACAAGGAGCCACCTCCTTTCAGCTCCACATTTGCACCTTTAACGCTAATGCTGAGATCCGCCTTGACTTCGTTAACAGTGACATTTGTGAGACCAAATTGGCTGGAATCATCTCCCGAGGGAAGGAGGGACTCTGAAATGATTCCATGCATTTGCTTCAGCAGGAGGGCACAGACTCAGCACTGTAAGTATTTCACCCACAGGAAAGCTGGAACGTGGGTCAGTTCAGCCATGACCCCAGTGACCCCCAAACATTATCTATGGAATTGGTGAACTTCACATTGATATATCTGGACTTACCTGTGCTTTTCCCACCTTTTCCAGGCAGCAGCACACTGTCCAGTTTGAACGGTGTGCACTCGTAGTAGGGATCTGAGCGGTATGTGGTATTTTGTTTTCTTTTTTGTGTCAGAAGACACAAGGGTCT